GCCCACTAAACCAACTAACTCTACTTGATCTAGACTTTAAGAACCCCACAAGGCTAACTCTAGCCACCAACCCCGATCTCCAAGATAAGACCATACACAAGCAGCAACTTTGATGCACCACACATCAACTAACTCTAGTTGACACTTCTATGCAACTCTACCCAAGAGAACATCAAAACAATGATGTAAAAAGGCTTGACCAAAACTTAGATTATTCATCTAACTCACTCTAGCTAATTCGACTAAAACTAAATACTTAGACAAGTAATAGATCTACTATCCTTTATAACTCAAGAGTAGATTTACAATTTAAGCACATAAGACACAAAGCTCAAAATACAACAAATACTCTTCAACACTCCACCGGGTCCCTTGTCGATATGAGCAATTTTCTTCCTTGAAGATGGCTTCTTGTTTGTAAGCTTATGAGTTTTGTTTGCCAAATCTTAGTTTGTGTTTTGTGAGAAGAGGTTAGATTAAATGGACACAAACCTCTTGAGACGACCCCATTGGTTGAGAGCCTACTTCTCTAAAAGGACATGCACCAACCACATCTGAGGTGGCAGCTTTTCTGACAACTGTCTTGTCGTCCTTTTCACATGTGCAATCTTACAGGGACCAGGTCCCTTGCAACGTGTTCTTTATGAGTTCTTCAGAAGACTTGCTAACTCTCTCTCATTTTTGAATGAATAATGTTGTATGTATATCAGTCACCAACAAGAGTTTTGACCACTGACACAAACAACCTCGTCTGCCCTTCCTATTGGTGAAGTACACTGCACCTTTCACCAACCATCTGACAAGACAACTTTATAGTTGTACCCCACTTTGAATCTGGACGAGAGCACTCTGCCACGACCGGGTCCCTGCATTTGTGAGGATCATATAAACCCCTAGAATATAACATTTCCCCCTCTTTGATGATAACACCCAAATATTTCTCATGATGAGTTTATTCATTCATTTACCCTATCCAGTCCCAATAACAAGGATCTGGTCCCTTGTTAGATCCCTAAGTTTGTTAAATTATCAAAACTTAACATTAGCTGCAAGATAACATCTTCACTATGAAATTTGAAGATGAAGTTGTCACACCTCAAACTCGAGGGGCGCAACTGGCTCCTAATGTCAAAACTCAGGATCGAGCCGACCCTACTGAACCATTTGCTACTAGCGCATAGCTGCCACACGCAGTCAAGAAAACAAACAAGTATATCTCGGCTTAAAATTAATCCCTCGGCCGGCAAGGTCCCTGTAAACAGATCCATAAAAGAAACAGCTACTCCCAAGAGTTCATATAAAGAAATAGCCAACTAGCACAGAAGTCCTGATTGGGCCGTCGAGGCCACCATGATCTCTATACCGAAACTGAAAGTAGGTATATCAAGACAATGCATCACACAACTAACAAGCTTCAACAAACCAACAAACTAGGCCATCATGGCCATAATGTAGCTATAAACCCCACACACTAGTCTGCAAGCCTCTAAGAGTAGTAAAGATTGGCGGGACAAGGCCCTAGCCTACCCATGAAAATATATACAACAAAAGCTAACAAACCTCCCAACTCTGGCAGCTCCGGAGGAAAGGGGCTAGCCAACCGGATAGAAGTCAATCATGTTGCTGAGGAGGTCTACTGGGTCATCTGTTGGGACCTACATGCATGAATGCAGCGCCCCCCGGCAATGGGGCCAGAGTATGAACGACAATAGACTGTGAGCAGGTATCCTAATATACTGGAATAATCCGATAAATAAATCAAGGATAAAATAAGCATACTGACCTACTCCTAAATCTAAACTTATCAAAACTAATAAAACAACAACCTAACCAAGCCCCCATAAGCTCGGCAGGTACAAACAGCACACAAGACCACCTACCCATGCCCCCATAAGCCCAGAAGGTGTCAATCAGTCTATATACCCCTATCGGTAGTCCCCTAGCCCCGTAGACAGTCACATAGCCCTCTTAGGCAATAGTATAGCCCCGTAGGCAGCACATAGCTCTCTTACGCATCAATATAGCATATAGGTAACTCATAGCCCTCTTAGGTAACAACATGGTCTTGTAGGCAACTCATAGCCCTTCCAGGCGTCAATATAGCCCTGTTGGCAACTCATATCCCTTCTAGGCGTCATTATAGCCCTGTCGACAACTCATAGCCCTTCTAGGCGTCAATATAGCCCTGTCGGCAGAACATAGCCCTTCTAGGCATAAATCACATTCTTGTAGCTAACCACAATAGCCCCAAGGGCAACAACAACAATCCAATCGCTAAAAGCGAGCAACTTAGTTATAAGCAACATATACAAATAGCCTCTAAGTCGTGTCCAGCATAGGGACGCTACTAACTGAATAAGAATCTCAATAATGGAGGATTATATCAACTCAAGCAGCCAACAATCAATAATAATGGCTACAAGTGTAACAAGGATAACAACCCAATTACATTGCTCCTAAGCTTTAAGGAAACATGTCATAAGTAGGGAATAGCCTTAACATACCTTTTTCGCTGAATTCACGTGGCCTAACGACTTTTACTCGTAACTCCCTCGATACTACAACAAGGTAGGACCATAATCAATACACAAAAATAAAAGATATCATGACAATACGATAAAAGATATGTATTTCTGTTTCAAATTGCCATTTGCTGCTTATAAAAGCTAGATTCGATGAAAGAAGGGTCTTACCTCGATCTTAAGTTCGTAATACGCCTCAAAACCTTCAAATATATCCAAACCCTTGTTGTCCCAACACTAAAGTGTGATATGCTATGAAATCGATAAAACAAATTATACCACGATGATGAGCCCAACGTGTAGAACAACTTTTGTCAAGGACTTAAGTTGAGAAAATCTATACTTTAGTTGATCCTAGAAATGGGTTTCTGTATTTTCTTCTGGTTCTTAGCTAAAAATGAAGAAAATGTTCGAAGAAGATATATGTAAAGTTCCACCGACCTAGGGTCCCACCTCACGTGCCTGCTTGCGCAGTCCCACGAAAACACAAATATCTCTCTATTCTAAAGTCGTATGAACAAATGGTTTAATGCGTTGGAAACTAGACTCGTAGACCTTCGATTCGATAGGTCATGGGCCCCATAAATATTTATAGATTGGGAGAAAACTTTCGAGACATTTGACCCAAATTTCAGAGAAATTTTAAAAAAGGAACTTATGATAACTTCCGCCAACTTTTATTTTGCTACTTACCTAACTTTAAAACTTGAGATGCAACACTTGAACACTTAAAATAGGACATACCACATCATTCTTAATTTATTACCCACCCTCCTTGTCTTTCCATGAAGATATGAGTAATTTTAGACGTTTCGAAAAGTCGGGGTGTTACAGAAGTACCCCTCACTATGGAGGAATATCAGTGGAGTCTCAACAAAGTTCTAAACTCCATACACAAACTTTAGCATGCCCTTGAAAGTGGGATTACCTCCGACAACATATCCAATCAGCGAAACCATCAATTTCTGACTTTCTTCTTGGATATATTTAGAGTTATGTTTAGCAACTTTGTGACCATCATTCACCACCGGTGGGTAGTAATCTAAGGTTAAGTCCATGGCGGTCAATCTGTTCCCTCGAATTACTTCTGACATAATAGATGTTTCTTCTGCTTTCTTGGCTGAGTAAGTCAACTTTCGAGCTGCAGTTAAGACCCCAATCTCTGCATCATGCGGTGTCAGAGTGACTGATTTCGTCATCTCCCCCAAGATCGACAGAGCACTCTCCCTGCTAGAAATCCAACTGGATAGTTGTAGCGGTTCTAGGGCTTGCAGAATTCTTGTGGCAGGGGTGACATGTCTCTCAGAAGTACCAATACTCTTAGGAGACTCCAGCTCCAAAGGAGGAGGAGCCCGTGATTGTCATTTCTTCCTTGCCATCATCGGCACAAGTTAGCTTCCTTGCTTAACTACGCTACCAAGGATATATAGTTATACCCGTATGAAATACCGAAAGCATAGAAATGAAGATGATCAGAGAAGAGAGTTGGGTTGGTTCTAGTGAGAAGCTAGACCCCTCTCTCAAATAATATAGCCGTTTTTAAGTAATCATAAATATAAATATTTTAATTAAAAATATTATAATAAAAGAAATAGCAAAAAAAAACTAAATGAAAATTGTTTTGCATTCATTAAACTTCAAGGGGTCGTTTGGTTTGAATATGAGTTATGATGGGATAAGTTATGTTGGGATAAGTTATGTTGGGATTAGTTATGATGGGATAAGTTGTCCTGGGATTATTTCTTATTGAGTGTTTGGTTTGTTATATTCAAAATAATATATATTGATAAATTTTAAGAACAAGTTGTTTGTTTACAAAATTACCCTTCACTTTATTTAAACTTTTTAAATTTTTCTTTGTGAGCTTTAGTTATTCATTTTTTAAAATAAAACTTTTATTTTTTTTAACTTAAATATTTTTGTTTATGTATTCCCATGATAAGTACCATGTGTATTTAAAAATATAACTTTTTTCTTATTTAGCTTAAAAATAGAACTTTCCTCTTAAGTTTATTAAAGAGAAGAAAATTTATGAGAAATCAAAATAAAATAAACATAAGAATTAGTCAAATAAATTCATAAATAAAAATTATATTTATATAGTATAATTTTTTAATAGAAAAATATGTATAATTATCATAAAAATAAGGAGTAGTAAATATTATTATACATGGTATTAAAAAAAATGTAAATATACATAAATGTAAAAAATGATATATAAAAAGGATTTAAAGGGACATATTTGTCATTTACCTATTCTATCTCGGGATAAGTTATCCCGGGATTACTATACCACCCATGGGGAGGGATAACTTATCCCGGTACTAATTATTAATCCCGGGATAAGTTATCCCGGACTTGCCAACCAAACAACATAATTTTTTTTTTTATCCCATCACTATTTCCTTATCCCATCACTATTATTTCTAATCCCTCACACCAAACGAGCCCCAAGTGTCCCTTTTAGGTCCTCTCAGATAATCTTTGGGATTCTGGCAAAACCCTCTCCCATGGCGTCTCTCTCCCCATTCCCTGGAACGGCTAACTCCATCTTCTCCCCTAACATCCACTTGAAATTCCGTATTCCATTGTCTACACTGCTTTTCCGACCCATCCGTGCTGCCCCACACGACCGCATCTCCACCACTTCCCCTAACAACAACCGTTACTCTCCACAATCAAGACCCCGTCGGAATAACCATCAAGATTACAGAAGAATCAGTACGCCTATCCAAAAAGAAGCTGACCCAGTAACATTGAGCCCCATTTCAGCAGCTGATGTTAACTTGATGAGTCTATGCAATGAAGGTAAGATTGACCAAGTAATTGAGTATATTTCCCAGGGCGTTGACGCTGACTTTCGTATTTTTGAGACATTATTGAGCTATTGTACTAAACTTGCGTCTTTGGACGTTGGGGTGAAGGTGCATGAGCTCTTATTGCGATCCCCATGGAGTAACAATATTGAATTGAACAGTAAGTTAGTGGAAATGTATGTTAAGAACGGAAGCATCAGGAATGCGAGAAAAGTGTTTGATAAAATGCGTGAAAGGAAGTTGGAGCTATGGCACTTGATGATTAGTGGGTATGCAGAAACTGGAGATGGGGAGAGTGGTTTGCTTTTGTTTGAGCAGATGAGAAAACTTAGGCTGTTGGAGCCCAATGGGGACACTTTTTCCGTGGTTCTTTCGGCTTGTGCTAGTAAGGGGTCTGTGAAAGATGGTTTTACGTATTTTGAGCTAATGAAGAATGAGTACGGTATTGTTCCTGGAGTTGAGCATTATTTAGGGATCATTGATGTTTTGGGAAAATCTGGGCATTTGAATGAATTGCTAGAGTTTATTGAAGACATGCCTATTGAGCCTACAAAAGTAGTATGGGAGGCCGTTATAAATTTTGCACGAATTCATGGGGATATTGAACTTGAAGATCGAACTGAGGAGCTGCTCATTAGGTTAGATTCTTCCAGAAATATGGCTGATAAGCCCCTTGCACCGTTTCAGAAAAGGCATTCTGAGTTTAGTATGCTTGAGGGTAAAGATAGAGCTAATGAGTTCAAGATCACAATTCCACATAGGGCAGATGCATATGAAAAATTGAAAGGCTTAAGCGGGCAGATGAGGGATGCTGGTTATGTACCAGACACGAGGTATGTGCTTCATGATATTGATGAGGCTGCTAAGGAGCAAGCGCTGATGTATCATAGTGAGCGATTGGCTATTGCATATGGTTTAATTAGTACTCCGGCAAGAACAACTCTTAGGATCATCAAGAACCTCCGTATATGTGGTGACTGTCACAACGCCATTAAGATCATGTCAAAGATTGTTGGGCGAGAGTTGATTGTTAGAGATAACAAGCGGTTTCATCATTTCAGAGATGGTAAATGCTCCTGTAATGACTACTGGTGAAGTCATTAGTCCATATTCAGACTATTACTTTGATTTTTATTGTAGAATTTGTAAATCTACTAGGTGCAATACATTCTCGGGAATCATGTTTACAGGATGATATCAGATTGTACATTAGTTATATGGTTATTTTGCTTGAGAATAGTTACAGTCTCCCCAAATTTGCCACTTCTTGTTATTGGGTAAATTAAAACTGTCTTTATCAACTTCTATTACCTCTGAGGGCTAAAAGGCCTCCCGAATAAACAACATCTTATGCAACAAAAAGATGAATATTAAAGAGTGTGTTTTACTACTAATATTTTGTGGACTCAGATTTGCTATAGGAAGGATTTGAGGATTATCAGAGTTGAAATTTGCATTGACCCTGTCCAGCACATAGAGCTCTGCTACTTTAATTTGTTCAGGTCGTGCTGATGTAGAACTAAAGGAACTGCAAACTACTCCATGATGACACAGAACAGAAATGGAATGGCACAGTCCAAGAGAAAGAGTTACTGGATGTGTAAAATGATGGATTGAATGAAAAGTTTCATTTAGAAGACATCAACTTTTATTTACACATTTTCAATGTACCTGTGTTTGTATACAGAAGGGATCCTATCGAGTTATAGGTGGAACCAGCAGCAGTCTCATCTAATTGCTTGCTGAGTCAACTACTTATTTAAAGAACAATTATGCGGTACTCTCACGTATGATTTCATCTGAGCCTCAAAAAAAGGATTGTTAGGAGTGCAGGGCTGATGGTTGACTATTTCTACTGCGGGTAACAACTTCATCTCGTGATGGTACTCTCAGTCAGGTATGATTTCATCACATCATAGACAGTAAATCCAATTGCAACATATGGTACAACCTTTATTTCAGAAATCACATTTATCAGGGCCAGTAATATATATAATAATATAGGAAACAGAGAATATTACCCACTTTTGGTTCTAGCAACTTGCATTTTACCTGGAAAAAACAGGCTTTAGATCCTTCTTATACTTTTGGTTTACCTTTAACTAATCATATTTTTCATTTGTTTTCCCTTCACTACCTTATTATAAAATTGTCCAACATGATATTGATTTCAATCTAAAAGAAGTAGAACGTGAAGATTTTTCCAGATAAATCAATTTACATTATATATTCAATTCTCTAGGTTATCTATAAACTGTTTTATTTGCTTAGCTGATTTTATCTATCATAAGTGTGCTTAATTAGAGTACTGCCTTAGATAAAGCCATATTTACGATTTCATGTTTTTCAAGTAAAAATGGTTTGACATGTTTATTTAATCTGTGAGAGTGATAAAAAATGTTAAATCTGAATTTTTATTTCACAGAACATTCTGAAAGATACTCCCTCCATCTCATTTTATGTGAGGTAGTTTGACTCGGCACGGAGTTTTAGAAAGAAAAGAAGACTTTTAAAACTTGTGGTTCAAAATGAATGATAGAAACTTGTATGACTATAAATCATTTCATTAAGGGTATAATAGACATTTTAAAGTTAAATTGTTACTTAATATAGAAATGTGTCATTCTTTTTGGGACTGGCTAAAAAAGAAAGTAAGTCACATAAATTGGAACAGAGGGAGTAGTTAATAGTATTCTTTAAGACATCGTCACAATATCTAAGATTATACAGACAATTTTGGATTTCGAAAAAAAAAAGCATGTGTAGCTTGCTATTCTCATTTTCTTTTTTATAAAAGAACCCATGCTTCTGAGTGTTTAGTATAGAGGGTTCTTCTTTTAGGGAAGGAGGATATCTTGGGCCTTGAACTCGACTTTTACTTAATTTTAACCGAAATAGGGGAGGGATGAGAGGAGGTGACAAACGGGTGCACTATTGTTTCTGGTCAGGGGTTAAAATGTCATTATTGGAAGGCTCGAGCCTTTTTCTATAGCACCGGGAGGCGATTTGTCAATTTGAAAATCATGATGAAATAATAAGCTTTTTCCTTTTTCGAAAAAGATATAATAGTAAGCAAAGCGTAGTCACTGCCTTACCTTCAGATAAGTGAGGCTAAGTCCAGACAATAGTAGCTTCCATCCTTGTCTTTGTACAATCATAACAAGAGTATTAAACGATCCTTTCATTTCATGGCTGCTGGTAGATGAGGAGAGTCACTGTACCTGAAAATATTTGTCTCCTCTTTGTCATTCCAACAGCAAGTTGGTCACATGAATACTTCTTTGGCTTTTATAGTCTCACTATACATACCTGCATCTGGCGTCTCACGACATATAAAGGATAACTGAAAGTCCGACCAAGAAGTCCTGCAACAGTTCCACATGCTAGTTTTACTCTGATGGACTTCCGGTTCTCCTGAGAGATGTTGCTTTTCATTTTCTCATAGAAGTAAAATTTAAGCCCTGTATATGGGAGGACTCCATAGAGTGATGATGCTGGAAACACCGTATGGTTATTAAACGAACAAACTTGATATATATATATATATATAAGCTTAATCCGAATTGTTGTGAGGTAGACTTCATACCAACTCCACAGTAATAGGCCTCTTATTCCAGCTTCCATGTATGTCTTTGAAAAGCAGTCCCGCACCCCTTTGTAAAATTGTTCACCAGTAGCAAGCCTTTGCATATTCAACTTCTTGGATCCAACAAACTAGACAATCATAAGCAAATCAGTACAAGATTGCTTATGGAAACTAGGAGCTCAATTGATCCATTTCCTTAGGACTAACAGAATCCACTTCACAAGTACTAAAATTTGATCAAGTTGCCAATCTCTGCTCTGATATTTGCTTTGAGAGATAGAGGAGAGAGTCAAGGTGTGTGATAGGGAAAAAGAAAGGAAACCAATGAACATGTCCTCTTTATTGTCGTACCTAGTAAGCCAATTGAGCTCAAACTAAATCAAGTGGATAGGCATAAAGTACAGCAGTTCCAGCAGCAAATGATCCTGCTATGACATCTAGAATGGGACCTTTCCCAATTCCAGGAACAGTATGTGTAATCAGCAACAGTACTCATCATCATAGGCCATGTAATGCAAAGCAGCATACGGGACAATGTGAGCAACACTAGCTCAGTTTCCCCTGGAGAAGAGTTCCACTAGCATAACATGTAAACTTAAAAATAAATAATACACCTCCTAGTTCAATTGAGACAGAAGCTGTGGATCCATCACCTGAAAAACCCGAGAGCTCTTTCTGTCGTAGCAGTTTTTTGTAAAGGATCCTGATAGCCCCAAGCTCCGAAATTCAACTTCTCAGGTCTACGTAGAAGAGAACTCAAAGATAAGGAATTTAATCGTCCAGGATTCCAGAGCCCCTCATGCTAAGGGTTCATTATATTTTCGACTTAGTAATTGAGTAGCTACATTACAAAGGTTCCTGGACTAGATGCCCACCCCATCATTTGAGTAATATTCTACCAACAGAATTGTCAAGTTGAACTTCCAAAAAGGTGACAGCAGATGCAAATTTCATAATTCTAGAAGAATTTCCAACCATTAGATCCACTTGTAAATTTCTTAAAGTCAGTAAGGTTCTTCAAGCATCTCATTCTACCTTCGAGCTCGTCATAACCAGAGTTAATTTTTTCCTTGGATTAAAAAACTAGGTGGATCACAGAAACTTGAGGAAGAAATACACGTGTCATAAATCAAATGTTAATTTGTCGAATAAAATAGACAACTAAGAAGAACATTGGATCAGTCCCTAAATACTCATTTGCACCAAACCAATCAATATAACATGTGGAGTCAGATTAAAAAAATTATATATTAATTAAATGTAGTTTAAAGATATAAAGTTTATATTAAAGACACATATCTTGCATTACTTTGGTGCTGATATGGGTGGACAAATATAACAGACAGGCCTACAGATTCAAGAGGAGCAACAACTGTCTTAGAAAATTCCATCCATTAACACAACACCCTCCTTTTCCATTTGAAGAAAGATAAATAGTACCACGAAAATCTTGAAGAACACTAGTACAGAAACAGTTCGAAAGAAAAGTAGGAGAATGTCAAATGTCAAATGTCAAATGTATTGGAGGCTTATTAGGGGTTGAACTCGGGGTGTTACATCGTTGAGATGTCTATTGTGCTTTCACCTTTGCACAAGTTCATATTCCAAGCGTCTTCAAAGGTGGATGTTCACAGTTCACATGTGATTGGAACAGAATAAGGTGAAGGAGATAAACAACATATTATTCAAGAGCTACCAAACTTCAATAAGATGGAGAGGAAGTCGGTTTTACTGATCACCAGTCTTGATCAGTTTTGGAAAAATAAGGGATATTCACACGGTAGATGATTTTGGGTTTATGTCCACTCCTTTTGTTGATAAACATAATAAAGGATTGGATGATGTTGTGGAACAAGAAGAAATTAGCGAGACTGGGTGTGCTATAGACCAGGAAATTGACATTGATTGTGGTATAAAATGTACTTCTTAAATCTTGTAATTTTATTACTTTAAAAAAGAATGACCTAGTTTCTTTTTAGTCTGTTTCAAAAAAATGACCCATTTCCTTTTTTGGTAACACTTTAACTTCAACTTTCCATGTGCCAGGTTTAAGGCCACAAGATTAAAGAGTATTTTAGTACATTTGACATAACTTTAATTTAGAACCATAAGATTAAAAAGTCTTCTTTCTTTTCTTAAATTCTATTCCATGTTAAACTAGACCATTCTTTTTGAAAATGAGGGACTACTAATTGTGAAAAATTAATTCTTATTTCTCGAATGTTACATCAGTCTAGGGGATATCTGTGAAGAAAAAAGTTTTAGGACAAAAAACATGTAAGAAATTTGGAAGAAAGAGGGGAGGTGACATTTGACAAATGACAAGATAGTGTCTGATTTAATCAGATTTATAGGAAAAAATGTAAGAAATCCTAGATTTATCACCTTAATGTACACTAATTGGAATGCAATGCCAAATGATAAATGATACTAACAACGCATGTGGTAATATGTCAAGTTAAGAACAATCAATTTTGAGATTGTATGGGTTTCAGAATCAACACTCACGAGCCGCGTCTGTAATCTCCACCAACATCAACAATGGCCAGAATTAAGGTTCATGAGCTGAGGAACAAGTCGAAGCCAGATCTACTGACTCAGTTGAAGGATTTGAAGGCAGCGCTTGGTCTTCTTCGTGTCGCGAAGGTCACTGGTGCTCCGAACAAGCTCTCCAAAATCAAGGTGCAGGTAAGGTTGTCTATTGCACAGGAGGTTCTGACTGTAATTTCACAGAAGCAAAAGGCTGCTCGTTTACAAGAACAAGAAATACCTGCCTCCTGCGCCCAAAGAAATCTAGGGCCATCCGCAAACATTTGACCAAGCACCACGCGTCCTTGAAGACGGAGAGAGAGAGAAAAAGAATAAGGAGATGTACTTAGTATGCTATCAAAGTGTAGGCTAGGATCTAATAATTTCCCAGAAATTTTGGTGTTTGAATCCCGATATGTATTTGGTTTATCATGCAAATTTTGTTTCCTTTGGCGCTTATGTCATTAGAAACATGACTGGTATGGAGCTTTATTTGTTCCTAGTAAAATAAAAAAATTGCCATTGTATGTTTACTACTAACTGAAGCTAAATATATTTTACTTGGAAACATGTCGCGTGCATAACATTTTTCTTTTACCAAACACACCACCAATGCCTAAACTTTTTACAGAACCAAACTAATCATTGAAGGATATTTCTCCTTACCTGAATAATATTTTACAATTACTATCCTCAATAAATACTTAAAATGCATTGGGAGATTGTGAATTATATATAATTTGTTGACAGACAATAGTTTTACCCAAACAATGATAAATTTGTACTACTATTTCACAGTTTACACATGATTAGTACATTGCATATATAAGCTAGAATTATTCAATGTCAACAATCCAATCCCTCTTGTCCTCAATATGCCCTTTTTGTATCCCTACAAGTGTTGAGTAAAGTTTCTTGCATACTAACTCTGACTTTATTTTATAATCAATCCTGCACAAACAAATTCACTAATTAAACAAATAAATCAATATGTTTATTTGGCAGAACTAATTGTGATGTGATTATTTCAATATGTTGGGTGAAAGAAGAGAAATTATGTCGGTTTGGTCATGTTTCATTGTAAAAATTGAAAAACAATAATGGTTTTTTTGTTTCTAAAGTGAAAAATGAAAATTAAAAATAGCCGAAATTTCTGAAAAATATAATAAAAATGCATGGCCAAATACCAAGTGTTTTACCTTTGGCCTTTATAAGTAATACTACCTACAGGAGCAACACCAACTGCTGTGCCTGTGCAGAACACTTCATCAGCACTAATCAATTCATCAGCTTCGACTAAACGTTCTTCAACCTGAAAAGGTTCAGTTATACCATTATTTGCTAGCTAACTGAAATAACATAGATGAGCCAAACTTTCAACGGATGACATAGATGAATCTTCTCTCAAAGTTCGATGACATATTTGAGCATTTTCCCTAATAACTAATTACTTGCTTAAACCTGCAGCTAGTACCTGATATCCAAGATCAATTGCAATGTCCATAATGCTTTTTCTGGTCACTCCTTCAAGAATTGTTCCACATGCTATTGGAGTTGAAATCAGTCTTCCCTAACAAGGTAACGACAACATTGACAATAAGGAAGATGATCTTCAATTTCCGAAAAATTAAACCAGTGGACTACAAATTCGAACATGAAAGTACCTTCACAAGAAAAATATTGCAGGACGAGACTTCTTCAATGTACCTCTTATTTACAGAATCAAGGTACAGTACATCTGAAAATCCTCTCTCCCTTGCATTCCTTATGGCGCGTAAAACCTACACTAAAGAAAGAATTTAGTCACAACTACTTTTTAATTTGACTATAAGTAAAAATACGAGGGAAAAAATTTACCGGGGCATAGTTAGTAATGCTTTTGACTCCACCAGCTCCACCACGTGAGGCACGATGAAAGTCTTCATCGACATACAAGTTCAATGGTGCTGTTCCTTCCTGTAATTGAGCCATTTCAGACTTTTTTTCCTTTCAAATCGATATATAGATATACTTGAATTATGAATATTTAAAGAAAGAATAAGAACCTTGAAATAGTTTCCAACAGGGCAAGCATAGACAAGGAAAGTGTACTCAGGTGCTGGAGCTAAGCCGAGTATCGATCCACTTCCAAAAAGCAGAGGCCTAATATAAAGTGAGCCTTTTCCAGAAGGCGGAATCTGCTCTTGCTCAAATTAGTAATAAATATATCTTTATTGAATAATTATTTATCTTTTAACAAGTGATTACCCATCGCTTATTAGCTAGAGCAGTTTGTTTGACAGCATCCACAAATTGATCTGTTGAAGGATAGGGCATACACATTCTTTCAGCTCCAATCTGCATTCTAATGGCATTCTCACGAGGACGGAATAGAGAGAGGCCTCCATTATCTTGTCTATAAGCTTTTGTTCCTTCGAACAAACCCTGTTTCATTTGAATGAATGAAATTTTTCAGTATTAATTTGTGAAACTTCTTTCTGAGTTCTAACAGTACGGTATATAATGAGTACTTGTCCATAGTTTAAGACACCAGCAGATGGACTGAGTTGAATATTCACATAGCGATTAAGTTGCCCTTTTTCGAAATTTCCAGCAACATCACAACTTTTCGTTATATACATATAATCAGTTGGCATAAATCCGAATCCAAGCTTGTCCCAATCAACAACAGGGCACTCTTCATCATCACTGACAATATAAAAAAATTGTGATCTCTGCTATGATCAATAACACTTTGTTTGAATGGTTGTTACGTATTGTTTCATAATGAATGAATACAGACTAACAATACAATATAATACAACCGATAACAACCATCCAAACAAGGTGTAAAAGTAAGAGTACATTTTTTATATGAAAAACATGAATATTGTACCTGTAAACACCAGGTCTTAAAGATGTTGCAACCTGAGCTGTGTAGTACCTACATTCAACCTGCAATCAAGCAGGCAAATACCTCTGCTCACTTCATTTCATTACATTAACATATATATCATTTGTTTCTTGTTTACTCCTGAATATTTTAAAAAATATGTTGAAAAATTTTAAAATATTTTCAAATTTTGTGGTCTTAAATTGGTTGTGTATAATGTCCTAAAAGGTATTTGGTTAAAGCTTATAAGCATATTAAGTATCTACCAATTAGATAAACACCTAAAGTGCTTTATAAGACACAATCAATCAAAAAGTCACGAGTTGATACTTATGATTTTTCAGCAGACTTTTTACATTATTTCCTGAGGTACAAAAAGATTACTACTATTTGCAATAAATATTTTTAAAGTAGTGACATTAATTAATTGCATTCACAAAATAAATATGAAGAAATATAATTTTATTGATGAATAATGTGGGTACAATTCTATTTGTTTGCATAATTCTTCTTTATGATTCTATTCAAAAATGTCCCAGGGTCAAAAAAGTCTTTTTTCTTAATAAATATATTATTTTTTCTTATAAATGTATTTTATTCCTAATAAAAATATTACTTTTAAAGAACACTATTCTTTTTTAAAAATCACTTAACCAATAAATAAGTAAGAAATAATTGTTTTTTTAATCTAATTTTATCAATCAGATTAAATATTAAAAAATCACTTAACCAATAAACAAGTAAGAATAATCGTTTTTTAATCTAATTCTATTAATCAAATAAAATGCCTACATGTACCTTTTGACTTATAATATTAGTTCATATATATAAGATCATAGTAATCCTATCATTAATATTATTTCGATTACATTAAAACAAATACTAATAGAATAGAAAATATTTTTCTCAATTTTTTTTAATTAAAGTAGGATAAGCATTTGCTAATAATAAAAATTATTATTAGGAAAATAAACATGTTAAAAATTAATGAAATAATATATTTATATTAGAAAAGGATATTTTTGACCTATTTGACAACAATAGGAACATTTTTTAATTAAATTATTAATGATAAATATATCTTTTAGACCAAATTATCTATTGAAGACATTTTTATTTAATTTCACATAATTGAACGATATTTTTTCTACTCTTTTCTGTATTTAAAAATAATGACATCCTCCGTTCTTTCTGTTTTATCGACTTATGATAGTTTTACACATTATAAAGGTATTTCAGATTAAAAGTTACGTATTCAATTAGGACAAAATGAAAAGAACGTGCTCTATTAAATATTGATGATGTGATATTTATTTTCATGATTTTGTATGATTGAACTGTTGGGTTTTTTCTAATAAATCTAATATGTGAATTTTCATATCCTTTGAGTATGTATTATTATTAATTTAAAATTTTATAACTTTTAAAAGATAAAAATTTGAAACTCGCAAAGTTTTCAATTCTAATTCCGTCTTTGATAGCAGAACTTATGGACATAGTTATTTAAATTGAAAAATGTTTGGGAAGCGCGATAAGTAAACAATATTTCAATACCTGTTGGATTGTACAACCAAAAAAGTTAATTTTGGGCATATTCGTCAATAACTTTTCCTATATGATTAATGTGTGCTTGGACTGCATTAGTATCTCTTTTACAATTTTATGTGTTCAACAATAATTCTTCATAGGACATCGAGTGAGAAATAAAAAAAAAATATTCAGCCTATAAAGGCAAGAATGTGTTTTTTGTTCCTTTTCTTATTTTTCACCCGGTATTCAATTTCCACAATGAAGCTTGATTAAATTCAAATTCCACTAAGGTTTAAATTCTCCTAAATACGAAATCATCTTTATTATTAGGAGGGTCCTTCACCTATTGTGGGGCCAATGCGATAGGGTAAGGACAAAATCTATTAAGAGAAAAATCATATGATAAGACTTAGAAGATTTGAGACTCCAACCTTAAATATAAGATAATTAATTTATAATTTAATCCAGTATAGAATTGCTTTGTTTGATATAATTTAATGGTATTTCTATTATATATACTAGTATAAAGATGGTTCAATATTATTTTGATGAGCAAATAATTATACTCATAGTTTTATAATAGCATATGTAGATTTAATTGTAATCAACTTCATGTATAATTATAAGCTAATACTAATTTACATAATAAACAAAGGGAGCACATACTATTGAGCAAAGTTAATTTACAGATACTCTAAACATGAGAAATCACTAACTTTGAGTGTAAAACTTTATTTGCATGTTGGACCAAAAACAATAAAAGAAAAAAAATGATATATTGGGATGAGAGTATAGTTCACCTGCAGATGCGGAGATGAAGATCCAAACAATTTACGAATATATGCAGGTGCGGCCCTTTGAATCATATTTAATTTCCACAACAAACCAATAATTTAATCCAACAATTTGAAATTCCAAAGTTGGGATCAGGATTGGATATATACTTCTCACACCTACCATTTTCTTTCATTTATATAGGAGGGAGTTAGATGCTCATGCACGCATATTTTTGGTATTTCAAAAAAAAAAAGTTCTTCATTTACTTTATTTTAACTAGTCTATAATAATATTTAGAAAATTATGGGATTCACTTCAACTATATCCTTAACTCATATCCTTTAGTTATAACTCACATTAAAGAGAAAAAAAGAAGATGATGATATATATCTTATAGTATTTTAAAATCGTTTAATTAACACTGTTTAAAATTTATTAATATTAATAATATTTTATTTTATTTTTAATGAAATGATTCACTATCATTTTTCTTATTATATGCATATTAAAAAATCATAAATAAAAAGATTATTTTATTATTTTGTTTCTTAATATATTTTTTTGGAATTTTATAAAAAAATGTGAATTCTTTCAAAATGAATTAATTGCAAAGGCAATATAGGAAAAAATCAATTAATATTTTCTTGATTTAGTAGTCTTGTCGTTTCTATTTATATGTCACCATTTTCGATTTTAGGTCCTTTAAAAAATCAGATCACTTTACTATTGTATCCTTATTTAATATTCTCTTGAAGTAAATTTCAATAAATGAACATAAAATTAATTGTTTTTATTAATTAAATTGCCAATGTACCTGAATTAATCATTTAGTTTTCATATGTTAGTTAAATTCATATTTTCAATGTTTATAATTTTCAAAGGTAAAATAGGAAGAATAATGTTATTTATGCATTATTTTATGAAATGACAAGTATTACGGAACATCTATTTTTAGTAAGTACGACATACAAATAGAAACAAATTGAGTAAAATGGATAACTAATGTGGTACAGCTAATTTTAGTAAGATGATACCCGTTCACTTTTACTTGTCACTTATTTCTTAAATAGATATTTATTATTATTTATCACTTTTGACATATTAAGAAAAGACAAATAGTTTTTTTTCTATGTTTTATCCTTCGCATTAAATATTATTCTTCATATTTTTTTCAATGCTAAAACATTGATTAATAGAAATAGTATGATAATATATATATCAATATTTCTTTTTAATGAGTATGTCAAGTTAAATCATAATAAATAAAAATAAATTGAGAAAGTAAAAATTTGAAAACATTTTACAAACACCTTTTTTTTAAAAAAAAAAAAACGATGAATAAATGTGAAACCGTACGCAATGCAAGTTTTTCCTTACCAATATTTATGACAAGGACAGGAAAGGGATGATATCGATGATGGATTGAACACGTAAAATAGGAGTTAAGAGGATATGTGTCAACCTTTCAAGTTTCCACAATCAAAAACGACAAAAAGTTTGGTTCAATATCGTAGGAACTGACCTGGCCGTACTCATCCTTTCAACGCCTACTAATTCCTTGCAATTATTTTATTTTCTTATCATTTCCCACCTTCTTATCCCATTAGTCTTTTACCATTTTTAAAAATATAGATAACACATATGTCTTTTAGTTTAATTTTGTTTAATACTTATGTTTTTAAATTTTAACTATGCATAAGTAGATACTTAAATTCATATAAAATTAAGCAAATAAACAAATGTCTTATTCGACATCATTGTAGATAGTAAAATTTTATTGATAAATTCGTAATAAATTAATGATTAATAAAATTAGATTAATATTTTAAGTTAAAACTATATGACTTAAATAAAGTTCAAATTACATTTGAGTTAGTGTATTAAGTTGACAATATGAGTCCAACTCATGCTCTTTAAGCTCTAGGTCCTCTAAAATTACTTGAAGACCAAGATACCCCTAAACTTTAGCTCACAACTATATAAATGAGTTTTCTTAAGACGAGAAGAAAGAATGAAGGGAAATATATAGAAAAGCTTTGCTCTTTAAAGGTGATCCACAAGCCTTCCACATACAAATAATTCTACATCTCCAATTTGAAAGCCGCAAGTTCTCATAGCTCTGTGATTGTGATCAAAGTGTGGCTTCGCATTAGTAGAGAAATTTGAATAAGTATTGCATCGATTCAAGAAAAAAATAAAGATCTCGAGTTAATGATCATGAGGAGACAAATAAGAGGATTACATTTTTTATTAGATTTTATAAAGATTGTAACCCTCACATAAACTATTGAAATATATATTTCATTGTTTGTCACTATTTTCCTTTCTTGATTGATGTTTTTCCAGAATGAAACTGTCAGGCTCCGAGCCTACACCCTGGGAGGGATTGGCACTCGAGAACCATTGCTGGCCCCAAGCGAACCCTTGGCCTGACTTACTTACTCAACGAAAGACTTAGTTCAACAAAGACAAATCTATGTAATAATCTGGAATGTTATAATGGAACATTCAAGTTGGCCATTAAGGCAAACTCAAGTCTTAGCATAAGATAATGACAATGAAAAGACTAAAGAACTAACATATGACTGTGTATGAAGCCTCTAAAACAACTGAGATGGATGTTGGGACAAACCCCACGACATCCTAATGAACTAATAAAATAATTGAAAGCAATAAAAAGGAATTCTCCGGAATGCAAGGAGGCTCACCAACTGACTCTGGAGTGCTCACTAGATCAACGATACGTTGGATGTAGATCCTAGTTACATGTGTCTGCATCATAATATGATACAGGCCAATTGGCATCAACACATTGAATATACGAGTATGCGAGTTGAAATGCTAAACACAACATAGACTTGAAAAGAATCTGAAGAACTTACCTAACTCAACTCAACTCAACATAACCGAACTCATTTCAGCTTAAAACAAATGCAATATAAAGAAAAGTTGTTTAAAACATGATGTCAACTCTGTGTGTATGCAAAGATACATATAACTCTGAGATTTATGCAAAAATACAAATAAATTGTGTATTTAGGAATACAATTACTTTTGTGGGAGTTTCTCTAACCGACAACCATCACGTAAGAGCTATTGTGATGATACAACTTTTAGCCTCACGCTGCCAGGGCCGTCCTATACCTTGCCGAGGGTATAGAACCTGAACTACTAAGTGGATCCACTAGTCTATGCTAAAAAACACTAAAGGAATCATCTAAAAAGTATGACCCTTTTTCTACCCATGATGGCTACATGGTTTATGGAGGCTGTGAGTTGTCTGAACTCTCCTCTTTATCGGTGCTCAATACTACTCCCAAAATTTGATATTAACTCTTATGTTTAAAAACATACTTCTTTCTGTGATTTGAGATAATTGCTCAAAAACTTAGCTCAAAGGCTATCTTGGAAATCATAGTTTCCTCTATTGCTTCATTTAGAAAGCGATTACTCTTTTCTGAAAATTAGCTCAAAGGCTCTTTGGAAATCAAGGTTTCCTTTCTTGTTTAAATGTGAAAACATTTTTCTCTTTGGGAATACATAGTCCTGACATACTTCTTTTGAAGAAATGAACTCAACATTTTACTCTTTGCTTAACTTGAAACTTAAGTCTTCAAACAAAGTTAAAACGTTTGTGAAAGACTTCTGAAAAGTTTATAAACTTCTCTTGACTTGACTCTTACTTCTCTTAACTTTGATCTTAACTTTCCTTGAATTGGATTATGGATTCAAGGTTCATGATCTCATGTTTATGGATGATTTCATGATGTTTAGATGTACCTTAGAGTGTTGGAACCAATTAGAAAAGATAGGTACATTGCTAAGGAACAAGTACTAAAAGGTGGGGAACGAATAAGAGATATGGCGTCCCTAGCGCTCAGAGAGGCTCGGGGCACCAACCCTCAAAGTTTAGAGACTGACTTGGGGCGCTCTGGCTGGCGCAACTCCCCAGAGGTTAAAGTTCAGAGAGGCTCTCATGGGGCTCTTAGAGGCGCGACGCCCCAAGCCCCTGCCCAGGTGAACTCCGACTTTTCTTGCTCGTTTTTCATCTCTAAACCATCTAAACTTCAATGGTTCTTTCCCCAAACACTTATAATCATTTATACCCTCAATATATACAAGATTCAAACCGAAATTACACTCGGAAACATGAATCAAATCGCAAGAAACTTCAACAAAACAACCCACAAGAATTCAAACGAATTTCATCAAAAACTCAAAGGATTTACTTTCAAATCAAACATATTTCGCTAAATTGAATCCTGATTGGCGCATGGGTGAGATAACCCAATGCTATGTGATCTCACATACCTCGTAGGGATCACCCCTTGACGAAACCCACAAGTTAAACTCGGTGATCTTGACGAATCTTGCTTTCTCTTCTCCTTTTTTCTACTTTCTCCAATCCCTAGTATGAAATTCACTTTTTCTCAACTGACTAAAATCTTACTTTACCCGAATTAAACTCCAAAGAATGAATTAACTAAGTTTGGTAAGGAAAAGACCAAACTACCCTTCTAAAATCCGGTTTTAGACTTTTCTTAGTCAAAGAACCCAACTTCCAAAGGACATAGCTCACTCATATGAACTCGGAATCGCGCAAACTCGGCGGAATTGAAAAGATCATTCCAAGATATTCCCTAACATATCTGGAAGTACACCTAAATCATCCTGATCTAGAAGTGATGTCCATTTGAAGTTGACCAAAACGCAACTTATTCTAACTTAACAAAATTTCCAAATTTTCATTATTTCCAAAAATGACTATTTCCAATCATTAGTTTCTTCCTAGTTATTTCAAATTGTAAGAAGTTACAATATCTCCCCTTGGGAACATTCGTCCTCGAATGAGATTACTCTTACTAGGCTAAGGGTGTAACATGCAACATTCAGTTCAAGCACCCACAAGCAAATGGAAAGCAACATGCCAACTTATAAATAAATACTAAGAATGGATTAATACCTTAATTCGAAACTTCTCTGAATTCGAAGAGATGTGGATATCTCTTCTTCATATCCTCCTGAGCTTCCCAAGTAGCTTCTTCAACAAATTGGTTCCTCCAAAGGACTTTGACTGATGCTACCTCTTTTGTTCTCAACTTGCGAACTTGGCGATCTAGAATTTGAACCAGAATCTCTTCATAAGATAA